GACTTTCTCCGACCCTTTCCTCCTCTCTGCGAAACGGAAACACAAAATGCTCATCTGGAAGAGAATATGCAAATAACAGTAACTAAAAAACAACAATAACAGGGAACCACTTACTAAGCCCTCAGCCTTACGCACTGACACAGCAACCCGTCGCCTCGTCAAGTGCAAAGGCCTCGAGTGTCTACCAGACGCAAAGCAGACAAGATGCGTGATAGCCTCTAGCGTCCGAGCACTGCCTGTCCCCTTGCCCTCCGCGCCCGACGGAGCGAGCGCCAACTCTGACTGCGCGAACCGTGGGAACGCGAGTATCCTTGTGGGCACGGCGAGGGCAGGCTGACACCCCTCCCTTGTCATCTCGGGAGGGGAAGGGAGGGGAAGGGAGGGGAAGGGAGGGGGCAGCCTCATGGTAGTATGCATCAACGCGCAAGGAAACCTGTTCCGAATCTATCTTGATGTGCAATTGCAAACACCTAATCTGGCCTGATCCAGATGTGATGTCGCCAGACGAATGGCGGGATTACTCTTGCCTCCTTCATCATGGCAAATGGGGATGGAGCGCAAGATATGACTCAGGGTTCACACAAGGCCTTGCAAGGGCCAAGATAATCGTGCAACAGGATATACGCAGAATAATACATTTTGTACGGAATGAATCTTTATGTTATTTCCCAAAATATGACCACGGTATTATTTTTGTGCTAAACTTTCACGCCCGTATCTCAATCCGGAATCGTAATCATGTTTTTTTCCCTTTACAAATGACCTCAAAACGAAAGTTGCACAAAAAAAAAAAAAAAAAAAACAAGTGACTGAACATCCACAATGTCACAGAGAAAAACTGAACTTCAGCGCGCCACTGGCCTGCACGCGGACTTCGGCGAAAGGAAGCGCTTCCTTCCTAAGACCCCCCCCCCCGCCTCAAGGAGAAGACGGACGTAACTTTGAAATTGCCGCCAAATTGCTAGGAAGATAACGATCGCAGCTGTGAGAAGAAAATAATGACTACGGAAACGAACAGGAATGAGACGACATGACTCTCGGCGGAGAGAGAGAGGAGAGAAGAGAGGGAGAGGGAGAGAGAGAGAGAGAGAGAGAGGAGAGAGAGAGAGAGGAGAGGGAGAGGGAGAGGGAGAAGGGAGAGGAGAGAGAGAGAGAAGAGAGAGAGAGAGTCGAGAGAGAGAGAGAGAGAGAGAGAGAGAGAGAGAGAAGAGAGAGAGAGAGAGAGAGAGAGAGAGTGAGTGAAGTGAGTGAGTGAGAGAAAAGGAAGAGGGAGAGGGAGAGGGGAGAGGGAAAGGGAGAGGGAGAAAGGGAGAGAGGGAAGAGAGGAGAGGAGGGAGGAGAGAGAGAGAGAGAGAGAGAGAGAGAGAGAGAAGAGAGAGAGAGAGAGAGAGAGAGAGAGAGGGAGAGAGAGAGAGAGAGAGAGAGAGAAAGAGAAGAGAGAGAGAGGAAAGAGAGAGAGAAGAGAGAGAGAGAGAGAGAGAGAGAGAGAGAGAGAGAGAGAGAGAGAGAGAGAGAGAGAGAGAGAGAGAGAGAGAGAGAGGAGAGAGAGAGAGAGAGAGAGAGAGAGAGAGAGAGAGAGAGAGAGAGAGAGAGAGAGAGAGAGAGAGAGAGAGAGAGAGAGAGAGAGAGAGAGATGAGAGAGAGAGGGAGGGAGAGAGAGAGAAGGAGGAGAGAGAGAAGAGAGAAGAGAGAGAGAGAGAGAGAGAGAAGAGAGAGAGAGAGAGAGAGAGAGAGAGAGAGAGAGAGAGAGAGAGAGAGAGAAGAGAGAGAGAAGAGAGAGAGAGAGAGAGAGAGAGAGAGAAAGAGAGAGAGAGAGTCAGACAGATAGACACGGATGGATGGATAGATAGATAGACAGATAGATAGGGAAGAGAGAGTGAGAGAGAGAGAGACAGACAGACAGAAAGAGAGAAATGAGATCACAGCTTATGTATGACGTCACCATCGCCTCTTTCCCCCCCCAGCCAGTATTTCGTTGCGCTACGAATTCTGGGAAAGCGAAGGTCGTGACGAGACAGAGGGACTGAATTTGGCATAACGAGTGTTATTTCTTTCTCTCCATAATGCAACGCACATGCAACAGGCTGCAACACACCTGGTATTTACCCGCACTCGTACTCTGACAAATTATATATGCGTAAAGATACAAAAAAGGTAAGGTCACTTTACTAACAAAATCTCAATTCATATACATGAGGGGATACGTTTGGGAGACTGGATATGCTTACAAATAGTAGATAGTCCTTTCTATTTTTTTTTTTTTTTTTTTTTTTTTTTTTTTTTATAAAATCTTGACATCGGCAGTAGATTTCTCGTCTTGAAATGTATTTAATTGGTTGTTAAAGGCGGCCTCTCGTAAACCCGGTTCCGAGGACACAAAGCGAGCACCGGAGACTAATTTAGTCCCCGTCGGGCCCTCCCTCCCCCCCCCCCCTCCCAAGCACCAAGGCGTGACCCTAATTTCCGGTCGTAAGGCAGGTGGAAATCGGCGCGCCATTCCTCCCGCGACCCGGTAGCGAGTGCCGGCCGCCCAGCCCAGACGGGCACTGAGGCAAGAACCAAGGCGGTGGCACTGTGGCACTGAGGCAAGGCTGGACCTGAGGCACTGAGTGGCACTGAGGCAAGGCGGGACCTGGCACTGAGGCAAGGCTGGACGTGGCACTAAGGCAAGTAGACGTGGCACTGAAGCGAGGCACCCGGCGAGGCCCAGGAAGCAATAAGCGCGGGAGGTGAGCAGATTTCGTGACTGTTTATGCAAGGGTTAATTTCGAGAGAGGAAGCTGAGAGTAGTTTGTTTCCCAAGGTTACTTTTATGGGGGATATGGTAATTAAAGTGCAAATAAATCATAGCCGAGTATGGGGGCAAGGTAAGTGTTAGGCGCTTCACTCATTTCTTTGGAGCTCTCCGTTCGTTCGTCACACGCCACTCCACCATATTTCCAAGAGCCTCGCTGCTGTAGGAATCTTTGTGAATATAACTTCTGCGTCTTCTGATCTCGGGGAAATAATAATGTATGGCATTGCTTGCACTGACAAACTCGAAGTAAAACTCCTCAAAAGTGAGTAAATAAGAGATGAAGAGTTTGTAAGAGGGACAAGGTCAACATAAGGTCGGAGTGCTAGGCCTCAAGGCACTGTCTTGTCACGAAGCATCTCGTTCGGGAACAAGCAAGATGGTTGGGGTTCGAATGAAGACGTGGCTCAGGCCGAAGGGACCCAGCCCACGCACACGCCGCGCAGCCGATGCCCAGCCCTTCCGGCAGACGGAGCAGCAGGGGGCGCCGCGCGGTTCTGTTCCTAACCAAGTTTCCATTAGCTTTGACTTCACGGTCGGAGGGCGGGTGACGCCGCGGCTGACAGGCGGTATGTGACCCCACCGCGAGCGTCAGGCGGAGACATCAACGTGGGAGCGTCAGCGAGGCGGCGGCGGTGGCGGCCTACTCCTGAGGTGGAACTGTCACCTCACAACACGCGCACACACACGCAGACATGCTAACAATACCTGTTTCATGAGGTTGATTTTCATTCGTTGTCTGATCGTTTTTTAATCTGATTTTCAATAAACTGCTGTGTTTTTAAGTGATATATTTTCATTTTACTGAACTAATATGTGCGCTGTCTTTACACTTGAGCTCCGGCCTCAGTCACTCGCCGCTGAACTCGCTCATTCACCTTGCCTTCCTACCCCCTCCTCTCGCTCTTGCTCTCTCTTTTCATTTATCCATCCCTCCTATTGTCTCCCATGTCTCTTTTTAGCCTCCTTTTTCTGTCCCATAACCTTCTTTCACTCTATCTTCTGCGTCGTTCTCCCTGCCTCCCTCTTTCTCCCTCTGGTAACTGGCCTCTTAGAAGGGAAAAAAAACACGCACATACGAGTTCCTGCTCACCCAGTTACCTTTCTCAGCCGCCGCGCCTCACTTTTCCCTCACCCCGATACCTTAGGCCTTCTCCTCCTCGATCTTATCCACCTTTTCCCCTCCGTTTCCCCTCCTTATCTCCCTTCCCTTCCATCCACCCTCCTTACAGCCAGCCTTGAGTCCCGATGAAGCCTGAGTAACGGCGTCGGCACCACGCCAGCCGGACCCGTCCACCTTGCCAACAGCGGCCCCCTCGATGCCCGGCCGCCGCTGCGCCCACCTCGGGAAAACGGCGTCCGCCACTACAGTATCTTTCGGACTCTCTCTCGCTCTTCTCTCTCTCTTCCTCTTCTCTCTCTCTCTCTCTCTCTCTCTCTCTCTCTCTCTCTCTCTCTCTCTCTCTCTCTCTCTCTCTCTCTTCTCTTCTCTCTCTCTCTCTTCTCTTCTCTCTCTCTCTCTCTCTTCTCTTCCTCTCTCTCTTCTTCTCTCTCTCTCTCTCTCTTCTCTGTCTCTCTCTCTCTCTCTCCTCTCTCTCTCTCTCTCTCTCTCTCTCTCTCCACGCCCCCTCCTCTATCTCTCTCTCTGTATGTGTGTGTGTGTGTGTGGGCGCGCGCGCGTTGTGTGCGTGAGTGTGTGTGTGTTTCTCTTTCTGTGTATGTGTGTTATTACTCAGACTGCTTCGACATCCACGTGAAAACGCTACGTCAGTTCCATATGACAATGTATGTATATCCATTGATTACGTACGTACTTTATGTAAACTTACATTGTGTTTCGGGTGATGATAGTGTTATTTCACACTACTTATCGCCACCAAGAGAGGATTTCTTAATATGGGAAATACGATTACTTCCTTCGAAACATTGAGGTCACCAAGTAGTGAGTCACCGTGTGTGTGTGTGTGTGTGTGTGTGTGTGTGTGTGTGTGTGTGTGTGTGTGTGTGTGTGTGTGTGTGTGTGTGTGTGTGTGTGTGTAGTGAGTGAGTGAGTGAGTGACAGTGAGTGAGTGAGTGAGTGAGTGATGTGAGTGAGTGTGTGTGATGTGTGAGAGTGTCTATAAGTATGTGTGTGTGTGTATGAGAGAGAGAGAAGAGAGAAGGAGAGAGAGAGAGAGAGAGAGAGAGAGAGAGAGAGAGAGTGAGTGAGTGAGTGAATGAGTGTGTGAGCGAGTGAATATATGTTTGGATAATTGTGTGTGCCGGTAAATCTGCATGTGTGAATGTTTGTTTGTTTTTGTTTATGTGTAACTGCCCTAACAATGGATCAGCAAGTATTTAAATACCCGTTTTGCTGTTATAAATGCATTTATTGGTACATACACATGAATTTTCAACAACTAATAACCGATTTTCAACATTTTCTTTAAGGTCAAGGCTCTTTATATGTAAAGTGTCGCGCTGATGGTAAATGGCAAATTCTGTAGCAGCCCCTGTCAGCACTCAAAGATCAAAAATGACTTAGCGATTCTGCGACTAAGACTCCTGTGGCCTCTAACTT